ATAAAAAAATAATGCTTTTAATAGAGATTAGTCCTAAGAAATTATTTTAATACAGAAAAATAACCATAGCTGAATATAGTAGGAAGTTGAATGAAATTGTAAAAAAAACCAACCATATTAAAGAAGAAAAAATAATCAAGTCAGATGGCATTGTTTATGTAAACTTTGTATTTCTCTGTTCATAAGATAAAATTTGACTGACATTAATAATTATAGCTGCAGTTATACTCAAATTAAATTTTTTCATTAATGGATTAGGACAGCCAAATGCCTAAGCAGCGATAAGATTACTTAAATCATTTAGAACCTTATAATTTCAAATAGGCAATAAACTTTTAAAAACTAATAAAAATGATATTCTTATGCCCACACTAAGATAAAAACTTAATATTTTCCATATATTCTTTACACTTTTAACATCATTTTTTTAAACTAAGATAACTATATAAGCAGATGCAAAGTAAAGAATAGAGAAAAGAGGGATGGAAAGGGACAGACTGGGATTTCAAAATGTAGAATAGATAAACAAGATTATATTGTATAGCATGGGGAAATATATACAAGATCTTGTGGTAGCTCACGGGAAAAAAATGTGACAATGAATATACGTATGTTCATGTATAACTGAAAACTTGTGCTCTACACTGGAAATTGACACAACATTATAAAATGACTATAACTTCTAGATGCCTCTACTGAATGAACAAGGACCAGCAATTTCCCAAATAAGAAAAACTCTTAGATAATTGTGGGTTTTCCAGTGGGCCTTTACCCTTTGATGTAAACTGTAGAGATACCTCCTGTCTGCAGTACTGTTGAGTATGAGACCTGGAGAGCACTAGGAAGGTAAACCCCAACTTCTGCAGCTCTGATCCGAGCCCTCCTCCGTGAGGCAGAAGAAGATTTACTTCTGTGATGAGAAACTAGATTTGTCATAACTGTATCAGTCCAGTCATTAGTTAGTTAATCACTAGAGCAGTAACTCTAGGCTTTAGGAAAGTATAATACATATACATATACATATGCACATGCCTTATATATTTATTTATTTACTCATAGAAATTTTACAAACTAGCCAA